AACACTGATCTTTTTACAGTCTCTACAGTTATACTATTCCAGAATGTCACATAATTGTACAGTATACTGCCTTTTCAGACTGGCTTCTCTCACTTTGTATTATGCATTTAAAATGGTACTGGCACAAAAACAGAAACAGAGATCAATGGAACAGGATAGAAAGCCCAGAGATAAACCCACGCACATATGGTCACCTTATCTTTGATAAAGGAGGCAAGAATATACAGTGGAGAAAAGACAGCCTCTTCAATAAGTGGTGCTGGGAAAACTGGACAGGTACATGTAAAAGTATGAGATTAGAACACTCCCTAACACCATACACAAAAATAAGCTCAAAATGGATTAAAGACCTAAATGGAAGGCCAGAAACTATCAAACTCTTAGAGGAAAACATAGGCAGAACACTCTATGACATAAATCACAGCAAGATCCTTTTTGACCCACCTCCTAGAGAAATGGAAATAAAAAAATAAATAAACAAATGGGACCTAATGAAACTTCAAAGCTTTTGCACAGCAAAGGAAACCATAAACAAGACCAAAAGACAACCCTCAGAATGGGAGAAAATATTTGCAAATGAAGCAACTGACAAAGGATTAATCTCCAAAATTTACAAGCAGCTCATGCAGCTCAATAACAAAAAAACAACCCAATCCAAAAATGGGCAGAAGACCTAAATAGACATTTCTCCAAAGAAGATATACAGATTGCCAACCAACACATGAAAGAATGCTCAACATCATTAATTAGAGAAATGCAAATCAAAACTACAATGAGATATCATCTCACACTGGTCAGAATGGCCATCATCAAAAAATCTAGAAACAGTAAATGCTGGAGAGGGTGTGGAGAAAAGGGAACACTCTTGCACTGCTGGTGGGAATGTAAATTGATACAGCCACTGTGGAAAACAGTATGGCGGTTCCTTAAAAAACTACAAATAGAACTACCATACGACCCAGCAACCCCACAACTGGGCATGTACCCTGAGAAAACCATAATTCAAAAAGAGTTATGTACCAAAATGTTCATTGCAGCTCTATTTACAATAGCCAGGAGATGGAAACAACCTAAGTGTCCATCATCGGATGAATGGATAAAAAAAATATGGCACATATATACAATGGAATATTACTCAGCCATAAAAAGAAACGAAATTGAGCTATTTGTAGTGAGGTGGATGGACCTAGAGTCTGTCATAGAGAGTGAAGTAAGTCAGAAAGAGAAAGACAAATACCGTATGCTAACACATATATATGGAATCTAAGGGGAAAAAAAAGGTCCTGAAGAACTTAGGGGTAAGACGGGAATAAAGACACAGACCTACTAGAGAATGGACTTGAGGATATGGAGAGGGGGAAGGGTAAGCTGTGACAAAGTGAGAGAGTGGCATGGACATACATACACTACCAAACGTGAAATAGATAGCTAGTGGGAAGCAGCCGCATGGCACAGGGAGATCAGCTTGGTGCTTTGTGACCACCTAGAGGGGTGGGATAGGGAGGGTGGGAGGGAGGAAGACGCAAGAGGGAAGAGATGGGAACATATGCATATGTATAACTGATTCACTTTGTTATAAAGCAGAAACTAACATACCATTGTAAAGCAATTATACTCCAATAAAGATGTTAAGAAAAATTAATCCATGTCCTTTCCTGGTTTGATAGTTTGCTTCTTTTTTTATAGCTGACTAATATTCCATTTGTACCACAGCTTGTTTATCCATTCACTTATTTAGGAATATCTAGGTTGTTTTTAGTTTTCTGTGATTGTGAATAAATTTGTAATAAACATTCATGTGCAGATTTTTGTGTGAACATACATTTTCATATTGAGTAAATATCTAGAAGTATACTTGCTGGATTGTATGGTAAATCTATGTTTAGCTTTGTAATAAGCTTTTAAACTGTCTTCTAAAGTGATTGTACCTTTTTGCATTCCCATCAGCAATGAATGAGTGTTCTTGTTGCTCTGCATCCTCACCAGAAATTAGGATTCTCAGTTTAAAAAAATAATTATCCATTATAATAGATGGGTAGTGTAAATTACATTTTTATTTTTAAATATATACTGGAAACAGATTATTTTGCAATGCAGAAGAATTTCTTTTCTGTGTTTTTTTTTTCTTTTTAAATTGGGGTATAGTTGATTAACAATGTTGTGTTAGTTTCAGGTGTGCAGCAGAGTGATTCAGTTATACGTATACATGTATCTATTCTTTTTCAAATTCTTTTCCCATTTAGGTTATTACAGAGTATTGAGCAGAGTTCCCTGTGCTATATATTAGGTCCTTGTTGGTTATCTGTTTTAAATATAGCAGTGTGTAGATGTCAATCCCAAACTCCCAATCTATCCCTCCCCCACACCCTTCCCCCCGGTAACCATAAATTCATTTCTAAATCTGGGGGTCTGTTTCTGCTTTGTAAATAAGTTTGTTTGTATCATTTTTTTAGGATTCTGCATATAAGTGATATCATATGATATTTGTCTTTCTCTGTCTGATTTACCTTACTTAGTATGATCATCTCCAGATCCATTCATGTTGCTGCAAATGGTATTATTTCATTCTTTTTAATGAATGCAGAAGAATTAATTAAAGGAAATGATACTCTTCAAAGACACTGATAACCATAAACTTTGCCTCCTCCTCACAGAATAAGGATTGGCGTCACTGCTAAGGAATTTTCTTGAAGACCCCGAAGAGCCCATGTCTGTAAACATTCCCTGGAATCCATGATTCTCAGCCCTATCAGACCCAGTGCACCCTTACAACAAATGTTTGTAATGCCTTCTTTTCTATGCCAAAATGAAATGAATCAGTAATATAACCTAACTGCATAGTTTTAAAACATCAATGTAATTGTTAAATACAGGAGAAATTTTAAAAATTAAAAATTAGATATTCAAGCATGTAGATGTTCAGTCATAAATATATTAAAATACAATGAAGTAGTCAGGTATTAGTACTTTCTTCCCGAATAAGTGAGAAGATCAGAAGCCACTCCATGCAAGACACACAGGGAAATTGAAGCATTGGTATGAGTGGACACTAGAATAAAATCTAATATTACTCTTGTGCATAATTGAAAGAGAACTTATTTATATGTAATGAGGAGGAACAACCCCAGTTGAAGTAGGACTAATATGCCAAGATAAATTACAGACTGTTTTTTTTTTAATTTTTAAAAATTACAGACTGTTGAAGTGAAAGCAATGGTGAGATATTCTTGCAAATGAACTCAGTATTACAAGTATGGTGTTAAAATTTCATATATTGTGACATAAAGTGTTAGTGACAAAGTACATGTCTCCTGCCATTTTGAAATCCCATTACATGTTGGAACATACGTTCAGTCTCAGCTAAAACAGCCTGGGAGGCTATATTCTTCCATAAGCAATAGGGACTATAGAATAGATTGGAAAGAAACTATAATTAAGAGGCTACATGTACCCCAATGTTCATTGCAGCACTATTTACAATAGCCAGGATATGGAAACAACATAAATGTCCAATGACAGATGAATGGATAAAGAAGATGTGGTACATATATACTATGCAATATTACTCAGCCATAAAAAGGAACAAAGTATACCAGAAAGAGAAAAACAAATATCGTATATTAACACATATATGTGGAATCTAGAAAAATGGTACAGATGAACCTATTTGTAGGGCAAGAATAGAGATGTAGACATAGAGAATGGACATGTGGACACAGGGAGGGAAGGAGAGGGTGGGACGAATTGGGAGATTAGGTTTGATATAAATACACTACCATGTGTAAAATAGATAGCTAGTGGGAACCTGCTGTATAGCACAGGGAGCTCAGCTTGGTGCTCTGTGACGACCTAGATGGGTGGGATGGCGGGGGAGGTGGGAGGAAGGTCCAAGAGGGAGGGGATATAGGTATACACATAGCTGATTCACTTCACTGTACAGCAGAAACTAACACAACATTGTAAAGCAGTTCTACTCCAATAAAAAAGGCTGTAGAGAAATTATGTGATGAGCCATAAGGGACAATATTGTAGTAAGAGCTGAAAACAGGCAACCCCAAAATAATTCCAATGCTAGTTTCCCAATATAAGTGTTTGTCCCTGTACTACAAAGAAATAATGGAAGATGATAAGAATGTGAAATTTAAAAAATATTTTTATACTGAAATGTAGTGTTCTGCTAGTTTTACAATATTTGGCATGAAGTCGCAAAAGGAGTCCCAAAGCTATCATATATTTGCAATCTGCCTTGTCGTTTTTGCAATAATTGCATTTCTACACTGAAACCCTTTTTAACTAATATGCATTTTAAAATGCTGTATAACATTGAGTAGATAGAAAGTAGAGAGATAGTAAACTATTCAATAGTTTTAAAAGTCTCTATCCCATTTAAGCTTTTCTCTCTATAACATCCTTCTCTTAAATTATGTTGACTTTTTGCATAAATATATGAAAAATCTTTTTAGTATCTCATCTACTGAAGTATCATTAGTTTGTACTTATAGTGGGTTTGGCACTCTGGGATATTAAAACTGTGTTCAGGAAGATACTCCATGTGTGGGATTGTCCTTTCTGTTTAGAATATCTAACATTCTTTGCCCCTAACCACTAAATGCCTGAGCCTCCGTGTCTCTGTCCCCAGTCGTCAGAAAAGCAAAAATGCTCCCACATTTCCAAGATGTACCCTAGCCTACAGTACCTCCCTTGTTGAGAACCTCAACTAAATCTACGGTTCCTAACTTTTCATGAGGAATATTGTAAGTTTCAGCTGCTTGAGCCTAGTGAGTGAAATCTGGATAAGTAGATTCTGTAACAATTTCGTGGTGACTGGAGAGGCCATCATGTGTTTGATGAAATGGGAGTTTCAGAACAGAGTTCAAATGATAAATGTCAGATTTTGCAAAGGTACGTGCAAAAAATGTCCTTGAGGAGGAAACAGGGTATTAGAGAAGAAGAAAGCTAGGTCAGAAACTAATGTTGCTAATTTTTTGTTGTTTTTTTAGTCCACAAAACTGGGTGAGGACATGGGAAGAAAGACGAAAAGGAAACTGACATGCCAGTGTGTACCAGGTACCAAGAGCTGTACTGACGCTTCCAAATCTAATCTCCATAAAACTCTGAGGAGGCTACACTGTTCTCAATTAATTCTCAGGTTATGGTAGAGGAGACTGGGATTCTAAGAAACTGTCTAACTTTTCCTACCTTGTTTGAAGAACAGAGTCTGCCAAACAAGAGGAACAAGAAGAAAACTGGATGTTGGAAATGGAACAGATTGGCATACTCATGCTGTTGAATGGGAAAGCAGGCTTGTTAGGTGACAGATCAATGTTTTGGGAGAAATAGAAAGCCTTTGTGAGATGGTAGGTCCAGACACTCTGTATTCCTAACCTGAGCTAAGGTCTTTTGTCCAAGTGGTAAGAACATACCACTGTTGTACTTTGTTCCCTGTAGGTAGGAACAAAATACACCACCCAAGCTTTAGGCTTTTTGATTCAGGCCTAGCTGTGGCTAGACCCCATTAAATATTGTGGCCTGTGATTTTACAATAATTAAACATTTCAAATTGAAAAATGGAAGAAGTTCCCATTAGCTCATATTAAAGATTGAATGTGGGTGAAATGTGTTGCTTTCTACAAGTTTATGGACAGAAAACCTCTAAGTGTTTATGTGCCATTCTTGGTAAGATCTACATTTAAATCAGTAGGTCTTGTGCTTTAATTCTGGAGTCTCAAAGGTAGTGCTTAAAACATGCTCCTACCAGCTTGTGAGGACCAATTGTTAAATATTCAGGAGTTTTGCCATCTGTCTATTAAATCCTTGATAGTTTGAAATCAACTGTGATGGCAATATTTACATCTCAAAATCAGAAAACCCTACAAATCCAGCCCCTACTCCCTGCTTCTGAACTAATTGTTAAACATTGTATAGGTATACTAGTCTAAAGGTTATAAAATGATTCAGCTGTGGTCATTGGCATTTACTTGTACTCAAGGGTATCTTTCTATGGCTTACAATCACTGGCCATATGACAACTACTGAAAAAATTATTTGCTTCTTTTACATAACACACTTTTGGTTGGGATGAGGTAAGTAACAAAGTTACTTATTTAGGGGGAGATCTCTAGTGTGGATAGTGGTGGTAATCAGGTTGTGCCTCATTATCATTAAAGCTTTTATTATTTCCCTTCATCCTCATTCTTTTTTCCCAAAGCCCTCTGCTGTCATTGGTAAACATTCTAATCGATTTACTGTCTATATTTTTGAATGTGTTCTTATAAAATGTGTACTGTTCTGCATACATATATTAATTTATAGAAATGGTTCATCTCAACCTGTCTTACACTGTTCCATACCTTTTACACCCAGAACTAGTATTAATGATTTTTAATTTGACTATGTTGTAACCAATTGTCCTCTGGAAAGACTTCACTAATCACTTTCCCATCATCCATTCTTGAGGATCCCCATATTCTCACGTTCTTGCCAATACTTGACAATTTTCCAACTTCCTATTTCCAGGCTAATAGGTGTAAATGATATCTTTTCTTAATTTACATTCCTTTGATTACTAATGAGTCTGAGCACCTTGTTATACAGTTGCTAGCATTTGAATTTTCTGTAAATAGCTTGTGGGTATATACTTTGCACAACTTTTTTTCTTTGGTGTTCCTGTCTCTTTATTGTACATTCTAGATATTAATTTCTTATCAATTTCACATCCTGCAAACTTCTTTGGAAAAACAAATTTAAGTTCCTTTACTTAAATTAGGAACCCACAATATCATATTTTTTGGCGAAAGTGTACTGAGAAGAAAATTGTGGCGATTGGTTCTTTTACCAGTCAAGATAGATTAGATCATGTTTCAGTATCAAACATTTTCCATATCTTTATGGTTTAAACAGGCAGCATACCTGAGGGAGAAATAAATATGTCAACTGTGGATCAGCAGAGGGGCTCCGCTTTTTACAGTAACTCAGGGACTGTCAGATCAGCCACCACCTCAGCATTGCTGGTTGCTAAGACAAAGGGAAAGAGGGAATTCTGAAGCATTTAGCACCAGCAAATAAATGCTTGGCCAGGAGTTGGTCATGCGGCCTTACCCATTTCCAAGAGGTCCAGGAAGTACAATCCTGCCATTTTATAAGAAATAAGCAAGATGCAAATAGTCAGCAAAAATCACTATTATCTGCCTTTCTGGCCATCAGATATGCAGGTTACCACTTTCTTTCCTGCCGCCAAAACCCATTCCATCTTTCTTGAGAGATACAATCCAAAAGTCACTTAAAGTCAGTGAGTGCATCAGACTCAAAGCCCAGCATCTCTAAGTAATAAATAGAATTCTTTACATCAGGTCCAGGTGTGGTCCTTCATTATCTGGAAACCTGTGAATTAAAATGACAAGTTATTAGTTTCTCACACACCCAGTATACATTGGTGGAATAAAGGAATGATAACTGAAACAAATAATCCTGTTCAGATTGGGAAAAAATGGGAAGTCAATTTTAAGATCACCCTGGGAATGTGTTGTCAGGATCCTTTATGCTGTGGGTGGAAGATATATATATATATATATATATATTTTTTTTTTTTTAAGATTTATTATTTATTTTGGCTGCGTCGGGTCTTAGTTGTGGCACGCGGGATCTTCGCTAAGTCACGCGGGATCTTCCGTTGTGGCGCATTGGCTTCTCCCTAGTTGTGGTGGGTTTTCTCTTCTCTAGTTGTGGTGTGCGGGATCCAGGGCACATGAGCTCCATAGCTGTGGCACGTGGGCTCCAGAGCTCCTGGGCTCTGTAGTTTGCAGTATGCAGGTTCTCTAGTTGAGACGCGTGAGCTCAGTAGTTGTGGCGCCGGGGCTTAGCTGCCCTGCATGTGGGATCTTAGTTCCCTGAACAGGGATCGAACCCACGTCCCCTGCTTTGGAAGGCGGATTCTTTACCACTGGACCACCAGGGAAGTCCCAGATATATCTAATTAGGACTCAATTTTGCTTTGTGGGAAGGACTTGCAAGTTCACTGGTTTCCAAGGTCCTTTGCTTAGGCCTTGGGAGGTTTCTCCTTTCTCCATTGTCTTCTGTGGCTATAGTTCAGGAGAGGGTTGGAGAATATATCTGCGTTAGAGATTAAGAAACTTTCTCAGCTTGTGCTTTCGGGCCAAGAATCATTTTAAGTTTCAAATAATCATCAAATGTTGGTCTAGTCTTGTGGTTTCTTTGGACTAAAACTACATATTTAATTAGGTTCTCATCCGTTTGATTTCATTCATCAGCATGTGCCAGTAGACGTCCACAATAATTTTCAAGACTGGGCTAAGTTCAATTAAGTGCACAGCTTGAACCTATGAGGATTTGGTGGGAGAATCATAGCCTTTGTCTGTTTTCACTGAGTCATTTTGTCCTCTTTAAATGATGTAGTGGATGCCATAACCTTAACTAGATCTATGCTTTCTGATAACAGAAGCCATTTAGAAGTTTTCAGTTTTAGTCATGCCTTTGATTTGGTTCTTGCTGTAAGGCTAAATTTTAATAAGCCTTTTTTTTGTATCAAAAGTCTTCTCATCTTATCTTTTACCAGTTGGGGTTGAGAAGTATTTCCCTTCCCAACCCTGCAAGTCCTAGACTTCCTGGATCCTCTCTTTTCCCTTTCATTCTTTCTTGTAAACCAGCCAACTCTTTCCCCAAGTTAAATGAGTAATCTATTTCTTGTTTATTGACAAATATAACCAATGGTAATTAAAATTCTCCTTTCCAAGCTTTTCCCTCAGAAATGCAAGTTTATCAAGAAAATACATTACATACTTTCCAAATGTCACAAATGTTTCACCACTGTATAACATGGATTGTTATTCTTTCAGCCTCCAAAGTTTATTTTCTTGCTACCTAGCCCTTAGGCCAATGCCAAAAAAGTTGATATTTTTGTTAGGTGATACCTCCTTTTCTAAATACTTACTTGTATAATGATCCAGGCATTCTTCTAAGATGGGTGACTAATGTAGCAGGTAACTGTGAGGTTCTGCTGCTTACTGGACTATCTTCCTCTTGTTACTGAATTAGGAGGGGACAATTAATTGGTTCATTGCCTCTTAAGTTCTAATATTTCTAAGTCAGTTACCAAATATAATGTTCAAGTAACACTAAATAAATATAAATATATAAATCATCAGTATCTAAAACTAATATATTGAATATCTCTTTTCCTCCTTGTTACAATTGTAGCAAACCTGAGGATATTTCTCATATGATTTGCCTTCTTGCCTGATTCTTTCACACAGGTACAAAGAATAAATGGGTAACTTGGTATTACCTGTCTTTGCATAATCAGAAATTTTTGAGGAATTGTGTTGAGGATACTCAGTCTCCAGCTTTGTGGTTTTGTCCTTTCAAGGGATTCTTGAGTAATTTTAGACACTACTGTATTGAAGTACTGATGTGGGGGAGATAGAGAAATGAACGATGCTCCTCTACTCTGGCGGGGTGGGCAACAGACTCTTCCATAAGACTTGAGAGAGCTGACACCAGCTTCATGTTTAGAGTTTGTTGAGCAACAGATCTTAGACCCATCCAGAACTGCCAGGGCATAAGAGGTGGATGAAGAGGGTAAAGAAGTCTTGATAGGCTAGAGAGGCTCAAATATGACCCTGAATTAATCACACCACTGAGCTTGACATCAAGAAGACTCAAACTCCCAATGAACCCAGGTGGTTAACACCTGATTATTGGGTACTACAGTATCAACTCTGGAAGATGGGCAGATGGAAGAAAGTGACTGCATCAAAGAGAAATGTAGGCCAACTCATGAAATCTGTATGTAGAGAAAGGGTTGAAAACTTCCTCTAAAGAGCCAGATAGTATTTTAGGCTTTGCAGGCCATATGTGATCTCTGTCACATATTCTTTTTCCCCTCCTTCTCTCCTAACCCCTCCTCCTTTTCCACCACCACCTCCTTTTCCTTCTTCTACTTCTCCTCTTCCTCTTTCTTCTGCTATAACTCTTTAAAAATGAAAAAAACATTCTTAGTTCTTGGATCATACAAAATCATGCCTGCAGACTATATTTGGCCTACGGGCTGT